GCTGATCCATATCATAAGAGATGCTGCCCTGACAACCCTAAAAGCCCTTCCTTATCAGCAGAGCATTGGTCCTGGCTGACAAATGATGTAGAAGCTGAGACAGCTGTTCCAACACAGGAGTTCACTGTCTGAACCTTGTCTTACCAAGCCATCCCCCTTGATGCCTTTTGCTTTATGACCACTCAAGATACTTTCTGGAGTGCCATACCAGCATTTGAGGGAGGATGCTAAAGAAAAATTCCATATTTTCTTTCCTTATTACAGATCTCAGGAGATGACAGGAAAAAAGTCTACCAGTTTAGGTGGTTGTGTTACGGTAAGGCTTTGTTTATCAAGACAAACTGATGAATCGACAAATTTGCTATGAGCATAAATTTCTAATTTGGAGAGTTTTATTAATAATTTATTATGTTTTGAATTTTAATGATAAGTTTTATGTTAATAATTAAACATCTACTTTTAAGGAAAACACAAATCTATACATGCAAATAAAAGGCATTTGGATATTTATAGATTTTACTTTTAATGTCTATAACATAATATGGATAATATAATAGCAAAATTATTTTTTTAAATGTGTTCTTTTCATAAATCTGATTATGTATTCCCAAATGATACTCAAAAAAGAGGTCACGTCTCAAGCAGCATTTGCAGATAGATTTGTGACTATTGGCTAAATATAAACGAGTTCTAAAGAATCTGATTAGACTCTACAACTAGTTTCATGATACAGCTTTACTGAATGATCCCTTTTGGACTGAAATAGTAGTGGCTCATTGAGTGTGAAAATGAGAATGGAGAACAGACTCAACAAAATTCAAGGCAGTTCATGTCCAAGGGCATAAGATGTGTTCAGTGTTGTAATGTAAACCAGAATTATTTTCTGCTAGCTGTAATGACAAAGCGAAGCAAGACCTCTAAAATTTTTACAATGGATTCACCTTATGTATGAAGATATTATATTCATAAAAATGTAAATTTCTATACTTAATTATGCTTGTAGAATATCTTTTTATGCAAAAAGGTTCTTTTATTTATTTGAAAGCCATTCAAAAGGCAGAGATTGCAATATGACTACCTTAAGAGATGTGTATGGCTGAACAGTAGCAATAGCTGGTCAAGCATAATAAAAGAACACATAAGGTTTACAGTAGCTGAAAATATATTTCCTGATTCTGATTAGAGTAATAAACAGTGTTACTGATATGGGACATGTCTTTTTACATTTTGATCTAACTGGGAAAATAATAAATGCAATACTTACTGTTTACATAATGCCTCACCTTCAAATTAAGGTCATCTATGAATCATCTACATTTTACTACTGTAGCAATGAAATCTGTCACAGCTCCCTGTATCAGAAAGCCCTTATGCAAGCCACTTCTACTTTTAGGTTATTCTCTCTCTTTTTTGGGGGGGTGGGGTGAGGGAAGAGGCAGAAGGGGTGTTAGGAACCAAATTGCATTTCTGCCTCATCTAATACATTAATAATGGTATCAGTGATAAGCTAATCTTATTTTCACATAGTAAAAGAACACTAACACTGCCATTCAAATAATTAGAATTCAGCCTTTTTTTTCTTTTTTTTTTATATGCTGACAGCTGAATAGTATCTATCTCCTGATTTTTTTCTTGATTGTAATTTAATAAGCAATTTCACTATGCAGTGCCAAGAGTCCCCTTGGAATTAGAATATTAGGCTCACATTGCTTAGCATCTAGAACTGTTTAAAGATCAGTCTGTGAAATGAAATTTAGCCCCTCACCCACCCACGCTCCTACAGATTTGGCAACAGCACAGTTCTCTACACATTTAAAGACAGAATTGGAACTACATGTTGCAGAATGCCTCATTCTTTACCTCAAGCTATGCATGAAAGAGAGAGTCTTCCCAAAATGCCATCTTTTCTTTGAGCTTGAAAAAAAAAAAAAGTGCTTATGATTTGTTATGTGAAAAGACCCCGCTGAGGCAACTGACATTCATTATATATGGTCCAACAGGCCACAACTGCGTTTTTGTCATCTCCCATTTGATTTTTCTTATTTTACGTTAGGCATCTTTTTAAAACAACAAGAGGCATTAACAGCTTATTTAATGAAATATTTAAACATATTTTAAAACTCCAAGCAGAACAATGTAACTGGCAGCTATGGTCCATATTTCTACCAAGATGAAGGTCAGGATATATCTGCAATCTCCAAATGCTAGATGTGAAAAATGACAGAGAGGGCAAAGAAGCAAAGAAAGAAGCCTGTTAGATGCCCGGAACTTTTGGCATGCCCCTCTAGCTAATTAAAGTGAAGGGTGATACCACCCAGAGCCTTAGATATAAAATTGAAGGTAAGATATATGAGCTCCTACTGGATGTGCAAAGACAGCGATACACATAAACAGCCAGAAGCAAACACAGCGCATCAGGTTTATGATGTGCCAGAACTAGCAGTGATGTGAAACAATGCCTGTTTCTGTTGAAAAAACGGTTCTGTATTTTCCTTGAGTGACAGACGCTGCAGAGGGACTGTCACAGAGCTGGCTGCAGTTATACTAAATGCTGAGGTGCAAACCCATCAGTTTCAGATGCACAGGCATCTAGAACTGTCTATTTCTGGGACAAAAGGTACTGAACTATGCGCACCGTTAGTCTAATTTGGCACAGCAACTCCTATGGATCTGTCAGTTACTATTCCTTTATGTATGATGTTACTGAATTGTGCAATAATTTTCAATGACACAAAGCATCTGTCTTCTTCTCG